GGAATACACTTCATAATAATACTTTTCAATACGATTACCAAATGTATTCAACAACATTTAATTATGCTATGAAAAAAAAAGATTTTGAACTTGTTGGTACATCTGAAAATCAAGCCAAATTCAGATTAGGTAGTCAAACAATTGTTGTTAATTTTGGCGAACATGATGGACGTTTTATTGCCGATATGAAATTTAATAATAAGACCAATGAAGTAATTGAAATTAACATGACCGATTATTTAAATAAAGATAAACATGAAGAAAAAGATTCAAAAAAAAAACTAAAGTAAATTTATTAGAAATTAAATTCAAAAAATTTATTAATTTTTTTTAGACGTATTGTGCATTTGAATTCATTAGTTAGCCATTTAAATACCAAAATCGACAACGTTCTGAAGAAATAATAATCAACCAAATCCTGATGCAATATAATAATCGTTAAATATATTTCTTTTTTTTCTCTATCTTCATACATGTCGGTATATTTATCTTATTTTCTTTGACTCTTTTTTTTTCTCTATCTTCATATATGTCAGTTTATTTATTTTATTTTCTTTGATTCTTTTTATCTGTTATATGCATATTCAAGCAAAGTGATTCCTATTCTATCTTTACTCACACAACAACGAAAAAAAAATTATCAACTATTTATATATGATGGAAGATGTTTTTAAAAAATAAATCACTATTTTTTCTTTTTCTTCTGCTTCTTTATTCCGCTCTTAGCTCTTTGCCATGGAAAACCACATGCATCTAAACGAATATTAAATGTAAATTTGTTTAATCGCAACATATGATTGATAATATTCTGTTTCAAATTATTCCCATCAACAAATGTTGTTTCGCAAGAAACTTCAAAATACAAAACAAGTTGCTTTTAAATTAGACATTTAATGTAAAAGTGGTATGATTATTTCATCGTAGCAATATATTTTCTAAGCAAAAAATAAGGAGAAAATCTTTAAATTTGGTAATTTTTCCTATAAAAATAAAATATTGATAAATTTTAATACGTTTTATTTTTTAATAAATTACAAATTTATAAAAACATACTTCAGTATTTATTTTTGACAATGAATGGTCAATTAATGATTTAATATTAACATAGAACGTATGAAATTGATTGAAATGTCCATCAAGTACTTAGGTCTGACCAAAAGTTCTGGCAACATTAAATAAAAATATAAAAATAAAGAGACATTTTAAATATTATTTTATCAAATGACGAGGATAGTTGTCATGATTATTTATATCAAGGTCAATTCTTTCGACACAATTTATTAAGTTTTGTTGACCTCTTTTTCTAAAAAAATTTCCAGCTACCTTGGATACCACATGAGCTAATTATATTTCATTTGTTTTAAAAATTTAATAGAGTTTTGTTCTCGAATGTCAGTTGCATTCTAGAATTACTAGTGATGTGATATCGAATAATTTTAGATAGGTTAGTCATAAGTTATCTAATGCTAACTGGCTTATTGAAGATAATTTGTCAAAGACTGTTGTGCATGAAGACAGATTTTAACTAAAGCTTTGTTTAGTATATTCTTTAAATCAAATAATCCTGAGTGTAGATAAAGGCAAGACTGTAGATCACAAGTATTATATTGAAAATTGCCCGAAGCCTTTTGTTAATGAAATATGAGAACAAACATGCATAGTTTTTACCATAGGCGGCGGATCGTGAAGGTTTGAAATGCTTGGACTTCATCTGAATAAAGCACTATTAGGTTCAGCCTCATTTGATTTATGGTAATTGGTGAAGAAACGTTTAATTTTTTAAGATTTGAGGCTCACCTGATTTTCAAACGTTCCCCGCCCTTGCAAACTATTATTATCTTCCATCACTTGTATCCCTCCACTCTATTGTTATAATTGTATGTAAATCAATTTATTTTTCACTAATGTTTTATTTTAATAATAATTGACAATATTCAGATAATTTTCCCATGAGGAAAATAGTCTTTTAAATGTTCAGGAAATGTTGATTTATTCCGAAAACATACGAAACTCATTTTCGCACAATTACTTCGTGTTGTATTTCTTCTAAAATTGCGTGTCACTTTTTTCACTAGTCGATAATCCATACTAACGGAAACATTATTTGGTAAACATGTTTTGGTATCAAATAAAAACTGTTCGTGATAATCTTTATGAGATTGAGAAAGTCCAAGTTCTACAAGATAAGGATATTCAATGATTGCTGAATTTTGATTTTGATTTTTTGATTTTCTAAATTGTTTATTATTTTGTCGTTTTTGATTAATTAAAGTTAATTTTTCCAAGAATGGAAATGATTGAGCAATTTGAAAAAAAAATTCATGTTCAAAAGGACGTTCATCAAATAAAGATACTGTACGAACTCGCTCAAATATTCCACCTGGAAAATTATTAGTTATATATTTGTAATATGTCAATTCATATGGATATGAATATATATGGCATCGACTAAATCCATTTTCTTTGAAATAATCAACAGAAGAAATAATTTGTTTATTTTGAAAATTTTTGAATGTTTGTTGAACATATTCATTTGATGGTAAATTAAATTGATTATAAAAACGAGTTGATGAACGAATATTAAATTTAAATTCGTTTAATAATGGCATATGATTGATAATATTTAATTTCAAATTATTACCATCAATAAATGTTTTTGTCATGCAAACTACAAGAGATAAATCAAGTTTTTCTAAATTTGACATTCGATGGAAAAATGGTAAAATTAATTCATCATAACACTTTGTATTCATATCACAATACAATCTAAACGATCTTAAATTAGGTAGTTTTTCCTGAATATGAAAACAAATATAATTTATTTGAACAAATTGAAAATTAAGCAAAATAAGCTACCTTATTATTGTTAACTAAATTCGAAGTAATTTGTTCAATATTAGCATGAAATATACGAAGCTGATTGAAACGTCCATCAAACAAATAAAGACAATCGCTAAAGTTATTCAGATTAACATGTAATTCTAATAGAGTCGAAGATATAACATTTGGAGATGAGATATCAAAGGATAAATATTGATGCCAAATTGAATATGGACCAATATCTAATATTTTTAAATTAGTGAACGTATTAAAGATATAAGTAAATAAAAGTGGATTTTCATCTGTTATTGTATCTCGTTCTCCATTTGATTGAATATCGATAACAAATAATGAAATTTGATTTTTGTAGGTAGAAATGAAAAGAGATTCGTCTAAAGAACGAAAAAATTAAAAGATTATTGAAAATATTTTATTTATATAGGTTTAATTTATAGCGAAAGAATCAAAATAAAATATCTTACCAGAAAAAAATTGTAAAGCTCTTTCTATTTCAATATTATACAAAGTTATTTCAGATAAATTAGGATAATTTGTACACCGAAGAATACGTTCCATTGATAACAGTTCAAGATCAAGTCGTTTGACTTTTTCATGAATTTCAGGTAAGATTTGTAAACAAAAACGATCAAGGATCGGATCAGGTAATGGATAAGTAAAATATATTGATATAGGTCTTGCCATAGTCAAACGCTGTGGTACAAAATTTACCAAAGTCAAACGATTCGTGAAAATCGAATCACATACTATTCTATTTAAACGTATATTGTCACCTATTAAAGAATAAAGTAATGTAATATTGTCCAATTTTTTAAAAATATTCATAAGAATTTCATCAGGTAAATCATTCAATTGAAGAGATGAATATTCCATGTTCATTTTCACTTGTCTATTCTTTTTTAACCTATAAATGTCGATATTTATATAGACATAATCATGTGTTCTATTTGACCGATGTCGTCGATAAAAAACAATGATATCATTTTTTCCTATACTCTCAATGGACGATAAATAAATTTATGGCTAATAGAATGATTTTTTTCTTTTTATTTTGTTGTTCAAAATATCATTTACTAATGGGCAAACAGAAAAAGATATTAAAAAGATGCTAAAGCAAATTTGATCTGCACATGATAGAGGCAATATAATTAAATAAGGAAATAACAAGACAAACAAGTTCACCAACCAGTTTATTTCTAATAAAAATAATACAGTGAAGCTTTCGAGGCCTTTCATATTGTCATTTTCAACATTAAAGTTATGAAAGAGATTTTTTACATACATACGAAGAGGTAGTTTATTTTTTTCTTCTTCTCTTCATTTGAATATAACCAGTTCATGAGATATTGTCTTATATGGATTTTGGTGTTTGAAAGTTAATAAAGTCTGTTTTATTTACAAACGGTGGACCATCATAATATATATACCTTTAATAAGAAATCCTTTTCTTAAGTTTTCCTATCTTTAATTTTATCGTGGTCGATCTTCTGACAACTTATTACTTTTTTCAAAAGCATTAATTTCTTTTCAATAAGCTAAAACATTTCTTTCACTTTTTACTAAAATAAAATATTTCATCACAGAATGAAAAGTTCATTCTAATCGTTGCAACTGAAAATGAACAACTGATTTCAATAGTTAAAAAATAATGACATATACTTTGACAATTCTCCTAAAATACCTGTGCAATTTTTCATCGGAATTGATACATAATCTGACGAAAACAAAAAGGAAAATTTATATTTTTATTTCGGGATGTGAAAAATAGCAATTACTCACTCACACTAGTCACTTTTTTCGTCGTGTCACTGACGAACATTATCCATATGACAGAAAAATCGTATATTCCTTTTCTTTCGTTCTGTTGCATTGTATGATAAATGCATATATACGGATTCTCTACAATGGATAACGTACGTCAGTGACAGAACTAAGAAAGTG